TAAGCTTTTTTTTTCCCTTTTTTTATTTATGAAAAAAAAATAAGAAGCTATATAACAAAGCCTATATATATATATATGTGATAATTTAATTTATTGACTTGTAGTTACGATTACTTATTTTATATTCAATTCATTTTTTTAAATCATAAATCGAAATTAGATTTATTAAAAGTCTAAGTCTCTTACAGTTCGATAAAACACAATATTTTATCAAAAGAGAAAATAAATATAATGTATACCTAAAATTAACACATAATTTGTAATTATTTAATTCGTAATTATGATAGAAATTTCACGTGCATCTCTTAGTATAATAAATCTAATTGTAGTGTTTATTAAAGTAAATTTATACATATTTTTAGTCATCTCTTTTTAAGACTTCGTGGCACAAGAAAAGTAAAATTTCAATTTATTAATCAGTCTATGTTCAAAAGTTGGATAGCTTTAGGCCGATACAAAAGGCAAAAGCCCAATTGAAGTTGTCCTTCGTGGTTAGCGGCGAGTTGGAGAACATCTTCACTCTTCAGTATTATCGTTGCATCGAATATTTGATACAATGGTAATTTAAAATTAAATTATAAATTATATATTTTGAAAAAAGTATAATTATAATGTTAACATTGTTTTTTTTTTTTTTCTCTTCAAGAAATATGTCAGTATGTATTATACTCCTATTGATCGATTGTACATACAATGATAGTATTGTAGATTTTTTCATGAGTTGAGGAAGCAAAAAGAAGAAAAATAATTGCCCAAATAATAATTTTCTTGCAATTTCTCCATTTCTCTCTATCATTTCGATGGTTTAATTTGTATGTTTATGTTCCTGTTTTCGGGTCATTCTGATGCAGTAAGGAGGATGATTGTACAGTATTAGTATGTTCATGATTAATTTAAAGTTGGTGGAAACTTTTGTTTTACTCGTTTGTCTGGCTGGATTTCTCGGTCTTTGAATTGTTGCTGACAGTGATTCATTTGTTCTCTCAAATGGATCCTCTAATGTAAAAAAAAAAACATGACATAATTATCTGAGAAGATCACAACCATATAAAGGTAAGTCAACGATTATGATTTTGTAATTACTTATTTTAATATATTTTTTCTTTCCTCCTTTATTAACTTTGATCTACCTTTGTATGATTATGATTTCCCACATGACATGATCATGTGATTTTTCACATTAGAAGATCCAGATCCAATATTCAACTCGTAAATCGTTGTTTCGCTTCGATCGGTGTTTTGTAGCATGAGATTTTATTGAAAATGGTCAAATATTTGCAATCAGATCAATTTTTGATTTTCAGTGTAAGCATAATAACTTCGTCTACTCTACATATATTATTAAATTTAAATAAAAAATAAATTAAAAGAAAAAATAAATTTTAAATTTGTGAAAAAATATATGATAATCAATTCAGAAAAAGTTATTTCAAAAACTAAAAAATATTTAAGGTTTAAAAAAGATGAAAAAAATATTAGTCCTTTCAAAGGACATAAATAATGTTATTTTAAGAGAGAGAAAGATACAACTTAATATTTTTTATTTAAAATTTTAATTTAAAAAATCACTCACTTTCTCTTCTATGATTTTTATTGTTTGTGTTTTTCTTTCGCTTAAAATGACATAATTTCATGTCCTTTAAAAGGACAAACACTAAATCCTAAAAAGATATACATAATTAATTTGAAATTATTGAAATTTTTTTATAAAAATAACACGTATCCTTCATTAAAATAAATATACTAAGAGATTTAATCACTCCTCAAGAGAATAGATTTAATTTATTATACATACTTTTTATTTTGTTCATATTTATTATACATACTTGAATAACAGTATACACATACTCAAACTTTTACGGAAACCATTCCTTGATATCATCTATGTGCATTTTGTCGTTTGACACAAAAAATAACGCCACCAAATTAATTAACTTTACTTAAATTACGAGTTAATATTTATGTCATAGTTTAAATTTCGGTCAGATTATTTTCCAACATTAGAAGGCTCTTTACATGATAATGTATCACTACTTTTTGAATTTATGTAGTTGTTAGAACCTTGGAAGTTGGAAGTTCCCCGCATTGCACAATGCTAACTGGTAAGGAGTAAACAGTACCGACCTAAAAGAAAATAAGCCATTTTAATATTCACAGTAGTTACATTAGTTAAGTCCTTGCCTACAATATTGACTTTGAAATGATCAATAAAATAATAAATTAAACTACAGCTGATATATAATCAATTATACTTTTTTTTTTCCTTTAACGAGTTTATTATCATGAATTCTATCATCATCTCTCTTTTTTTAGCTTTTTAAATCTTGTGATGAAGTTTCCATCTACTAGCTAGACGAAAAATTAGAATTAATTTTTTGGGTCATATTTTCATTTTAGACCTAATGGATAAATGTTTTTCTACGTGTCAATAGAGATATATCCATATTGAAAAGAGGTAAAGAAATTCAAGATATGAACCTTTTCCTTTGCCCTTCCCTTTTTTCCTAGCGAAATTCTTTTTTGGTCCCGTCTCATTATTGATTAGTGGAATAGATCAATCAAAATCCACCATTGATGAGAGAGAAAATAAAAAATATTTTTTTTTTTTCCAAATGTTCCCCTCTTAGTGGAAGGAGTATCTGGGCCACCACTATTCTAAATTTATCCCTATGCCCATCATATAATGTGATGGACAAGTCATCCACATCTTTAAAAAAAAAAAAAATGCAATAAAAAAGATAAAATAAAACTCTCTTATTGCTCCGACACCAACACGAAATATGGGATACGACACGACATTTAGATATATTAATTTTAAAAATATTAGATTTCGATATGTTAGGACATGTTTTAGTATTGAATAATATTTTTAATATATAATATAGTTTATATTTAATACATATATCAGTTTAAAATAAATCATATAACCAATAAAATATTCAAATTTCATAACATAAATATAAAGCAAAAATAATTTTTCATATCAAATTTCATAACAGAAAATATTTGATATATAAATTAATTTTTTATATTTAATTAAAAAAATAAAATAAAATTTAGGGGATGTATTGGATAGGATTTTAAAATATTTTTTTGAGATAAAAATTCTTACAGATTTTAAAAAACTATTTAAAATTGGAGGGATTTTAAAGGCTTTTAAGAAAATTTATTTTACAATTAAAATTTCATAAGATTGAATTTTAATAGAATTTATAATATTTGAAAGGATAATATAAATTTATAAGATTTAAAATCATATGAATTTTTACCAAACATTCAAAATTACAAGAGTCAATAAAAAAAGGAAATGCAATGGTATTAATAAAAAAAGTAAAACTTAATATAATTTTCTCAATTAGTAAAACATATTGTAATTTTTAACAATCATTCAGAATTACTAAGCAACAACTCTCCATATATCTAAACTTATACTAGTCCTCCACGCTTTAGCATTTTCTCGTTTACTACTCTTAGGTTTGACCAATGAGTTAAAAATTATTTTTTTCATTTGATATCAGAGCTATACATGTATGATTATAAGATCCAATTTTTTTTATCATTCTAAATTTGCATATAGAACTTAAAGTTCATGATAAAATTTCGTTTAAAATTTTTTGCTATTGATCTTGGAAATCTTGAGATTTTTGTTCTACGTGATGAGAGTTTTCTAACTATATATCATATGCATTGAGTATTCTAACTATTTATCAAATTATTTTCAATCTATACATTGAAATCTTAAATTGGTTGAAATCGTTTCCTCTAGCGAAGGAATTGCATTCATGAATATATTGTTACAAAATATAGTGTTCATATTATGAATGTTTTAATCTTTCTTTAAATTGATATTGTTTCATCGATGCAAAACGAAAATTGGTTCGAGGGTTTAGTTCATGTTGTTTTCGCACTGTTTTATGTTGTTTTTAATACAAAATTCACATCTTTTTGTACCAAGAAAAATTGTGACGCATAGTTTGAAAAATTATTTTTTAAACTTCCAAAAGCTCTAAAGCATTTGCTGTTTTTGAGATGAATTATATTAGAATCTTGTTGATTTGTTGTTTCTAGGTTATTTTTTGATGAAAATCGCTTAAAAATCAGCTATTTTTGAGCTTTGACGAAGCTCCCATGGCGAAATCTGATTTTGAGCAGGTCAACTCGCCTCAGAAGGAAGAAGATACTGCAATAGAGAAATCTCAAGAAATCTTAAGAGTTATGATGAGTATGTGAGAGAAGCATCCTATTTATATTACTCACTAAAAAGTCTCATGAAATCCACATAAATATTAAATTCATTAAAATAGTAAGATTTTTGAATATCACAATATTATTTTTTCTTTGTATAAAATCCTAATTGGATAGCAACGAATTTGGACGGACTCTAAAACAATCTTTAAAAATTCTAATCAAATACCAATGATTTTCTTTGTCCAAAGATAATTCAAAAATCCTTTAAAATTTTAATCCAATACACACAGTTAGATTTGCATAAACATTGATCTCGTGTCGAAAAACATTGATCGCATGTTGAACATGTATCAAAACATATCATAATATTGACATGTGTCCCAAAATATTAATGATATGTGGAACGTGTATGTGTACACACATTTTTTATAAAAAAATAATGTGTCCGGTCTTCGTAGATAAAAATGAAAATTCCGGATGAGATGGGAAGCGAAGGAAGGGTGCCCCACGCAAGCAAATCTGGATTCTTCCGCAGGTGATGACTCCGCCCTTGTCTACGCAACAAAACAAACGGTGGTGATGCCATGCCGCGTAATCATAATGGCTAAAGCCAAAAAAATATAAAATAAAATCATCGCCATCTTGTGCGGGTCCCACGTGCAAAAAGAAAAACGCATTCCTTGAAATTAGTGGCGGAATTATACATACAACAATATTTTAATTCATATTATTAAATGACCGAAATGCCCTCATCCCTTCACTCTATATAACGACACTCATGCTCGTTGCTCATTTCCCATTCCATTTCTACCTGTGTGCACTTGAGAAACTAAAGAGAGGGTAACTTTTTTTCTTTTTTTTCTTTTTGTTTTTATTTCTAGAGAGACAAAAAAATGTTGGGGATCTTCAGCAGCTCAGTGGTTTCGCCGCCGGAAGAGCTGGTGGCCGCCGGCAGCCGAACTCCGTCGCCGAAGACGACTGCGGGTGCGCTGCTGAACCGGTTCGTAGAGAACAAGGCATCGGCGGTGTCACTGCAGATCGGGGAGAATGTGCAGTTGGCTTACACACACCACAACGAGTCACCGTGGCGACCCAGGTAATAATAACAATGGCTTCTATATCATGTCTAGCGACGTCGTTTTGTCAAATCCTTGACTCCTTGTTATCGTTAATTCGCTCGCACTTGGTTGTAGGTGGAAAGTAGAATTCGATATGTTCTGTAACTTCAGGAGATTGTTGCTCACTGAACTTGAGAAAAAAGACATTAAAAAAAAAAAAAAGACTAGAAGATAAAAAGTGGATAAATAAATTAATTTAGAAAAATTATTTAAGAGAATAATCGTATATCCGTTTGATCGGTTATATCAGAGTGAAAATCATCCGATCAGACGGTTGGTGTCAAAAATCTGTTGCTGCTGCCGATCATTGCATATGTAGTATTTGTCTGTTTGGTTGTCCTAAAATTATATCATCTTTTACGGTTTTTCTATCCCTTTGTTAGCAACCAAACAGGTATAGGTGATTTCTCTTTTCTTTTTTATTACAAATTTATGAGATAGCACTGTAAGATGAAAAATAAATATTGAAGCGAAGTTATTGATTTTTTGTGGAAGGAAAAAGAGAGAGACTAGAGTAGTAGAAAATACGTTATTTTTTTAATATAGTATTGTGCTATCTATGTAATAGAAAATTGGATGATTGGTTCTGGGGTGGATGACCCAATCGTGATGATTTGGCAATCATGCGGTGAAAAGAGGAAAGTGGGAGCATCTTGCGTCGATGATAAGATAGGTGGGAGTAGGTGATTGGCAATTTTGAGGATTCACTGTTGTTATTGTTTTTGCATGATTGCTAAAAAAGGAAAAGTTGATGAGTGAAAAATAAAATAAAAAATATAAATCACTATTCTCAAATTAGTAACGGAGATTCTATCTAGTCTTTTTCTCTTCCAAAGGAATTTATTATGATTTTTTTTAATGTTGGGATAGTATATTAGGAAATGGATCCTCTCATGTGTCAAAAAAATATGATATGGTCATGTGAGAAGATCACAACTATACAAAGGTAAATCAACTGTTATGATTTCGTAACTATCTATTTTAACATTTTTTTTCTCTCATCCTTTTTTATCATTGATCCACCTTTGTATGTATGGTTATGATTCCTTACATAACATGGTCATGCGAATCTTCACATGAGAAGATCCAGATCCAATATATTATGCTTATTTTTTTTTTCAATATCATTTAATCAGAATCTTAACAAGAGAGAAAATATGAAGAATAAAAATCTCATAAGGAGAGAGAAAATATGAAAGATAGTTGAGATTAATAAGTAGGTAAGATAAGATATCTACATTGAGCTCAAAATAATATCTTTTTGAAATGTAAATTAAGATATTTTTGTAATTATAATTTATTTCAGGGTTATAATAGTATTTTTCAATATAATTTTTTAACCAAAAACAACGTCATTTCGAGAGTGAATGTAGATATCTTATCAATATTTACAGTAGAAATATTAAATATAAAAAAATAGTAATAATATATTATCCCTTAAATATTGTATATTACTATGTTAATTTAGAAAATGATATTTATTTGAAGATTGTAGAACCCAACAATTGGATCCAAACAAATAAAAATGTTTAGTCCTGAAAGTGACTATCCGGTATTCACATTGTATCCGTGTGCATTATACTTATCCATTGAATAACATTTCAATAACAATTTCGAAGATAGACTGGTGGTTGAAGACTTATTTGCTATATTCTTATTTGGTTTTTTTGAAAAACTTATGTGGGCAGATTTTTTTTTCCTGAACTGTAATTATTTTTAGCGCCTATAAGTAAACAAGTGAACTTAAAACAAATATATTACAGGATTTTCCTATAATAATGTATTTTATTATATATTATTTTTTCCATTTAAAAATTATCGTAATAGTTCAGGATATATATGCAAAACTATATTGCTATAAATCCTTCAAGTTAAATTTGTTTATTAAATACTATTTTTTCGAGTTATATTTTTATTATGAGTATTTCTCCCGTCACTGGATATAAAGTTATCTCCAGTGAGTTCAAAATGATGTCGTTTTGAGTTATAAGATTAAAAAATTATTATGACAAAGAGTAATATAATTCTGCAATATATTTGAATTACAAAAAATACCTTGATTTTCGTCTCAAAACGACATTATTTTAAGCCCACCGGAGATAATTTTCTGCTCCATTGACTTGAGAAATTCTTTAACTTTTATTATTAATAAAATTGATTTCATATTGTTTTATATTATTTTAAAGATGTATGATGTATCATTCATTAACTGAGATATTCGTGTGGTTGCTAGCCCACGAGATGTTTCTGGTAGTGTAGCCTCCTTTCACGTCACATTTTATGGTTCCCAGAGTGAATTATTGACCCATGGTCCCTTTCAATGCATGCAAGCCTAATTTGATTATTGCGAAGAGAGAGAGAAAAAGCACGGGTGTACATTTAACTTAACACCTTTTAAAGTCAAAAAACATCGAATACCATAAACGAAATAGGACCACCGGACCAATTGTATATTAAGTTTTTAGTGGGCCACTTTGAGCATGCTTCATCTGTGTTATTTGTGAGTGGATTCTAAAGTTGTGTTTGTTTATTCATAAATATTTACAAATATTTACAAATTTTAATAAGAGTCTACAAGAGAAATAGAAAGAATTCTCTACAAAAAAATATTTTCAAATTATTTTAAATAAATAAATATGTTTTTCAAAATAAACTAACTCAAACATACTTAAAAAGGGTAATAATTTTCTTATCTTGCATAGAAGAAGTATTATCTCCTACTCAAATAGAAAAAAGAGAAAAGTTGGAGATGAAAGAAAAAAATTCTTGTGGAACCCATTTGAAGAATGTAAGTGTAAGAGACAATACTTCTCTTATGTAATATAAAAAAAGTATTTCACAAATACCATATGCTGTTATTTTGATTAATCAGCGTTGTCTTTCTTTTTCATTGTTTTCTTTGACCAATAAATGTGAAATTCGGTGGCTAGTGACTGGGGTGTTTTCTTGCAATTATTAGTGTTTGCCTCTGTATTTTGTACTTCAAATTGCTGAACCGTTGTTTCTTGAGTTTTTGGCTTTTATGGCAGAGTATGATTGAGGAAATGGATGACATCGGGATCAAGGTTCTCTGCAAGAAAAACAACCGTAAAAATAAATTTTTTCACATGAAATAATAAAATAAAATATAGTATAAAAAAAAGTGGGCTGAGGGATGGAGTTGTACCCCTCTACAGTTTCCTTTTGAACTGCAGGTGATTGGGGTCGGATAACATAGAATAGGTTGGTAGGACCGTGGTGCATATCACCTCAGAAAATTAAGTCTTGTAGTACATTCTAGATCATAGCTCTATAACTAGACTGATCACATAACAGGATAGGGTTATCATAAAGTTGGATGTCTTATTCTACTTCTTTCCTTATCCGCTCATGGGGGAGTCACATCGTCAATTGCTATTTATTTTTGGAATTTTTTTTTATTTATAAATTTTTATACACTTAATTATATATTTCTGGAAATAAATTTGGTTAAAAATATATTTCCCAAATGTAATTTGTAAATAAAAAATTTGAAATTATAACTTAACCCTTAATGTTACTCTAACTAGTTTATTTAAATGAATGATTCAAAATTAAAGATTGAATTCAACTTAGTTAAAGGTATGAGATTTATTTAACTTATCTCTTCAACTTATTATCGAAATACTGAGTTGGAAAAATGGCAGATCATTTGCTGTTAAGGATGAGGTATTCTGCTTGTTTGAGGGAGCTCTTGACAATTTGGGTAGCTTGAGACAACAGTATGGACTGGCCAAGTCTGCAAATGAAGTACTTTTGGTGATTGAAGCTTACAAAGCTTTACGTGATCGAGCACCCTACCCTGCTAACCATGTTGTTGGACATCTCAGTGGGAGCTTTGCTTTCATAGTTTTTGACAAGTCCACTTCTACGCTCTTTGTGGCTTCTGTAATTTATCTATCCTAACAATTGTCTTCATCCACCCCATGATCTTTAGTTACTTCTACTCAGAACTTTTTGATTGTATTGTTTTTTACAGGATCAATCCGGTAAGGTTCCTCTGTATTGGGGAATAACGGCTGATGGATACGTAGCTTTTGCTGATGATGCAGACTTGCTTAAAGGTGCTTGTGGCAAGTCACTTGCTTCTTTTCCTCAAGGTGGGTTTAATTCTGTGATTATGTATGTCCATCACAGCATATCACAATCCCCAATGTTTTGGCAACTATTTTATTGCGAGTGACCCACAGAAGTGCTTATAGTGATCCCAGACTGGATCATTTCACCCCTTCAAGATGATGATAATAAATAAATATGACAAAAAAAATACAAACAGAAAAATGGGAGCAAAAAAATGAAAAATATAACATGCACCAAATTCTTAAGTGACATTGTCTCCGCTCTGTTCTTTTTTTCTCCAAATTAAGTATTCCCTCCCATTATTGACATTGTTTCTCTGTAAATTATACAGGATGTTTCTACTCCACTGCAGTTGGAGGATTGAGATGCTATGAGAATCCTAAGAGTAAGATTACTGCAGTACCTGCTAAGGAGGAGGAAATCTGGGGTGCAACCTTCAAGGTAATTAACAAGATGATATGATTTTAAATCTAATTGCTGGTACAGTTCTCAGTTCTGTTTGCAGAATATTCTTCTTTACATAGTAATAACAGGTTAATGTCAGTGAAGGTTGCATTAGGTACTGAGGGAGAGTTTAAGGTCAGGAACAACTAAACAAGAATTCACAAAATTTTAGATCCCGTCATACTTAAGGCTGAATATTGAATTAATTAGAAAGACATTTTATTGAACCAAAGTTGTAGTGTCCAAAATGAATGGATTAGACTAATTTGAACTTAATATCCGTCTCTCTTTTGAAGATGCTGTTAGAAAGTTAGAATTGAAATCCAATATGTAACTAAGATTGCAACTAAATTTCACTGAGGTAATAATAATATCGTGATCCATACTATACATGAGTCCTTAAAACATTCCTAATAGCAAAATTACAACCTATGGAAGCTTGATATAGCTCTCGAGTGGTTACCGAGCCATGTTTTGGTAAGGTATTCGGCTAGGTTACCAAGAAAGTTAATCGAGTGATATACTACTGGTGCAAAAGTTGGGAAGCTCCACCACAAATAATATTATTAATTTAATTTACCAGCAGATTGACTTCCAACATTTGTTGTTTTGTATTCATGGTCTATTTCTGTTTTCTGTTTCGATCTCCATGAATGAACTTTGACACATCCGTATCTTATGTTCTATTTTGTCTATTTGGTGGGATGCATTACCAGGTGGAAGGGTCAGCAGTCCTTGCAGCCAGAGAGTAGAAGATATCTTTTCAAGTAAGGTACCATACGATGCATTAATGGAGTAATGTGTTTATGTGGTTGTGACTGCAAGGCATGCATGAGGGGCCATGTAAATACCTTGAATGTTAACTTTATGAAGAGTGGAACTAGTTGTAATTCTAGTGTAGTTTGTTCATTAGATAGGATGTACTCTATTGCTAATGTGCAGTTTCGCTTTCCAATGTAATAAAAATATGCATCTGGCTTGAGATTCCCTAATACTATCATTCAATTTTAAATATGTAGATATTAATACATTCCTATGCTTTCATTTCATAGTTTTAAGAGAGTTGGATCTCGACATCGTAGCACAGCCACAATGACTTTGACGACAAAGTAGTAAAGAGTTCCATCCTTTACGCTTCCATTCTTCAAATAAAAGTTGAAAAGGGTTCTTTAGTGTGCAGCAAACTAGATAAATTCCATGAATGTCCAATGCAAGCAAGCAAAGTAAAATGCTTAAGAAATAAATCCCCACCAAAAAAAAAACATGCTTAAAATGACTGATGATCTCCACTAATATTGGTGGACTTTCCAAACCCATTCAGCAATCTTTTGTGCCTCATTATTTTTGTGTCATTCAGCCATGTCTGAAACTCAGACCAAGTCCTTTCCTCAGTTCCTTTCACCTTGAGCTAAAGCCAAGTTATAGATTATCTTTTTGAGTATTTATGGAAATAGCTAATTTCATCTTCTTAGCCAGAAAAGGAAGCCCTCTTTACATATTTTAGATTCTCATTGATTTTTGTTTTTCTCGACTTATATTTAAGCCCTTTCAGTTATTCTATCTTACTAGTGAAGTATATATAGGCAAATTAGTTGCTAGAAGTATATACGAAAATAAATTATAAAATGAAAAAGTAAGATATAAAGAAAGTCTCCATTTTCTTCATATTCTCTGTTCTTTTCCTTTTTGAGGCAACAAGGTACAATTTGGAGGGTTTTCTTTTTGAGTTTGAATTATAGGTTATGACCAGGCATGCAATTGTTAAACCTGATATGTTCATAACATTGAGGTAGTCCTTTTGGACTTCTCTAAGTGGGTCTGAACCTAATGGTAATACACTTCTAGCGGGACGGTAGATGCTTGTTTCCTGGTAACTTTATCTCCTACGTGTGTGGAGCTAGCTATATCTGACAGATAGATTTGACTGCACTGTCTAAAATAAAAGTGAGATAACATTATAGTAAATAAAAAAAAATGAGTATATTGCTCCTTGAACTAGTTTTGGTGTTTTTATTCTAGTCTCGTAAATTCTTCATTACATATTACTTTCTTAATTTTTAAACGTTAGATAAAATTGTCTTTAATGATCCGTCAAACAAATTAACGAGTTTCTCTGACGTGGCTGGCTAATAACAATGAAATTGGGAGCGAAGTTACTATGGTCCGAGAGTAAAAAATATTGGGTGGTACTGAAGTGAGAGAAAGAGAGAAAATGTTGAGAAGAGAGGAGAAAGGAAAAATTTTTAATCCAGCTGTTAATTTTTGACTGAAAAGACCACGGTGACCCTGGAGTATATTAAAAAATTCCTGAATGAAACATAGGACAAAAAAAGTCTAGGAGTGGCTTAGAGGTAAGGAGGAAGAAGCAAACAGAAAAGGAAGGCATGATAGAGTGAGTAGTAATAAACTCAAGTTTGAAAAGCATAGATGCTTTAAGCACAACATGGTGAACTTTTGAAATGTGAATAATTTTAAAGAAATTTTGGCTCTTAGAAAACCTCCAAAAATAGTTTAGCAAAACAATTCATATTATTTTAGTGTATATAAGAGGAGGGAAGTAAAAAAAGAAAAAAAAAATGTGCTCTATTTGTCAAAAAATATAAGATAACATCAAAATATGTGATTTGTTTTATTTGATAAAAAATTGTTCCTTGTTTAATTTCTTAACTAATTTTAATAGAGGTAACATTTCACTATATTACTCACACGCTCAATACGAGACAAGATTTTTTGTGTTTGGTTTGACTCTCATTATATTCGTGTTGTGTTCATATTAACAAAAAAATAACATGAAATTTTTTGGTGTGTTATGTGTCAACCCATAAACACAGCACTTACCCATGTTATTGTGGTTAATTATATTTTTGATTAGCAGATTATTTATGTCGTGTTGTTATTTGATTTATTATTATTATTATTAGTTGGTTAAATTGTCATATAATGTGCAATTTATTCATGTTGTATCATGTCGTATTAACTCGTATAATAAAAGAGTCGTGTTAGTGTCGAGAATACGTAAATTTGATGTTGGCGAATTATTCGTGCCAAATCGTGTTAACCTACAAAATAAACAAATTATCTCTCGTATTGAAAGTTTTGACGCAAGCCTTTTTTTTCATGTACATTAACACGAGCCTTTATTCTCATCATGTTCTGGTTTAGGTATTGTTATTTGTGCCAGATCTCGACTCGACACAAAGATAACCTGTTGACACGACCACTCATAAATTATGGTCACCTACTAAACCAAGTTACAATATATTGTCCCTGGGATTTAGATCCTCTTATGTTAAAAAAATGATATGGTTATGTGAGAATTCATAATCATACAAAGGTGGATCAATGGTAATAAAGAAAGAGAAAAAATATTGAAATATATAGTAAAAAATCATAACTGTTGATTCACCTTTGTATAATTGTGATCGTCACACATGACTATATCATGTTTTTTTTTTCACATGAGAGTATCCATTTCCATTGCTCACAGCAGAAAAAGAGAAAAAGATCAATAACGTCTCCCTCTTCTTCGTTGTAGCATTATTACCTGCAAAACAATCACTACAAGTTGAGAGACCATCCCAAAATATGAGCCATCGATGATCAAAATGACAATCTACTATAATGTTGCAGGGATGGTGCAAATTTGCTACGGTTGTGCCGGTATCTTGAGAGACCGCCAAAGATTAAAATAATTTAGCGGTGGTGATGGCTGCCGTTAGCACCAACCACCATAGTATTACTCAATTTGGCGGTAGTAATGGTGATCATCTGCCTCAACCGCCGTAGCATGACATCTTTCAGCGGCAGTTACACAAGTGCTTTGGTGTTTCGCCAGTATAGGTGAAAACACGACAATTAAGATGACGTTTTATAAAAGGGTTTGACGTTTGTCCTTTTAAAGCATATAGAGTTATGTCATTTTAGGAGAGAGAAAAGCACTAATGAAAATCATGGGAGAAAAAGTGAATGATTATTTTAATTTGAATTTTAAATAAAATAATAATTTGTGTCTTTATCTCTCCTAAAATGACATAACTCTATGTATTTTAAAAGGACAAATATTTTTCCTTTATAAAAAGTTGAGAAATATATATCTTGTAAGTCTGCAGTGGTTTTGTCCCTTGTTTGCCAACATTACACCATATAATATTAGGGGAAAATACTTCTCCTCTCACAAGAGAAGTGCCCTCTCATGCAGCAGAGACATGGGGCTATGGGTCCCATCTTTTTTTATTTTTTTTAAAAGGTTGAGCACAACTATCGAAGTGGGAGTAGGAGAAAATTTTGTTGTGCAGCAAAATGAGAGATATAAACCCCATAATATTAAGGGACCTTTCAACATAAAAAGAATATGCAAGAGATAACGTTAGATGTCATTATTTAATTGGGAGGATCCATATTTACAGAGGAGTTACGAAAAAAAAGTCTTATACATACGTATATTCTTTAATTGTATCCATCCATAATCTTTGATATATTACATTAGCAAAGTAAACTAATTGATGAAAATGTTATGGACTAGATCCATATCTCAATAATCTAACTAACAGAAGATTGAGATTTATCCTAATAATATCCAAACTACTAGAAGATTAAGGAATAAAATTCATATCCCAACAGTGATGCTAAATGGCTAACAACCTGGAAGATATTTAAAGCCCAAACCCAACAAGGTAAACTCTATACATAGGTATTAGGTACACATTTTTGATTCATTCTTTATTGCTGCCAATACTGTGCACACACACCCACGTCTTGACTATACATCTATTGTCAGTGCGGATCGTTGAGATTATCGTAAGATTATATTTGATTTAATATTTATATGATTATTTAATTGGTAAATTAGATTTTAGCTATATTAAATCATAAGAAAATAAATCCAATAATTAAATAAATAGTTTAAAAAATAGTTAAATAACTGACATTGAAAATATTTTATGAAGAGTGTAAATAAATGAAAGAGTGTGTGATTAGATAATGATTATATACTTATTTTTTCATCCTCTTTCGATGTTAGGTAAGATTTCGATCTTAATAACCTTGGTTGGAACAAACAAGTAAAAGTAGCCCAACAAGAATACATGTGAGAAATGGCAAAAACACTTTTTTTCATAATAAGTTGAGGCTTGAAAATGTGAGCATTCCTCTCCAATCAAATGCACTAGAGGGCTTACATTGTCATAATTTTTTTGCTGCATTCTAATGGCCAAAGCCTTTAACTCTAACTAGCACATACTGTGCTAGAGTTGAAGAACTCACTCAAGACTGTTATGTGGCAATTACTTTAAATTCTAGCTAATGAGATTTATTTGCTTTATAGAGATTTCTTATGTGAGCCATGAATATGCAAGTATTATTCAAGAACTCAACAAGGTAAATCCTTTCTTTGCTTTGTTCTGCTACAGAGGCAAATGCAATTTCTTTTCTGTTTTGAACAAAATACTGATATAGTTACACACCTTAAATACTACAGTGAGCTTGTTGACTTAATAGTCAAGCACAATGCAAAGAGATTGAGTCCACTCATCGAAAGTTCATACCCTTTTCATTTATCATAAATCCATTCGAATGCCTATATGGTTCATATATAGTAATATTGTATTAAGCAGTGGTGAAGTGATTAATATCTAACCAAATTAATGCATGATTTCTATTCTGTCCTTCAATATCTACTATGAAGGTTTTGTTCCACATGTTGTGAGAAATTTTGGTAGAATTAATGTAAAGCACTCCACAATCCCATCATGCATGCACCCATAATTCATTATGCATAATGATTATAGATTGTCATGCGTGGATTGTGGAGTGTGGAGTGCTTTATATTAAATTTACCAAAATTTCTCACAACAGGTGGAGAAATGTAAGCCAACAAGATCCCTCGTCAGCATGCAAAGTATTAACTATATCCAATGATTTTATTATATCTAAAAAGGTAGTGTTGCATGAATTATGTAAGATTTTTAATGTGTCTTCAAAATTCTCCTTACAATTGCAATGTATCTTTATTACCT